TGTATAAATAGTTGTACTTTTCTAGTTCTCTCTCTCTCTCTCTCTCTCTCTCTCTCTCTCACACACACACACACACACACACACACTATTATGCAGTGTTTACTACTTCTAACAGCCTGTAGAATAAGACCAATATATCTAAGTGACATTAACTCTGCTTTAATACCTAGTAACAAAATGCTTTAAAAGGAGCTCCAGCATCTATCACTCTCTTCAGTGAAGACACACACACATACACATACCCCATTACAACAGCACAGAAACTTCAGATTCCCACTCCTCTATATTGGGAAATGTAATATTAGCACTTATGACAGCACTGTAACAAGTGCAGGGTGAGCGGTCTAGAATTAAAACATACTATGCCAAATTACCAAGATACTGTTACTAGAACATTTCTCACAATGGAATAATGACTAATAATACTAAAAAAATGAGCACCAAACAGAACAAACTACTGTACTCTAGGGAAAATTCCAATAGGCTCCATTAAAACATTGTATCAGGTCCCTGTATGTTGGTTTCTAGTGGTCTCTGTTGATTTCTGTTGGAGATAAGTAGTCTCGGGTACCAGTAGTTTCATTGCTCTGTACCAAAACCTAGTTTTTAGAAAGCTTAGAGTCCACAGGAGTAGATTAGAAAAGATTTCAGACTATCTGTTTACTTAGCTACAGAAGTGCCTAAGGTGCCAATCAATAGCACTCACAGAATCAACATGTTTAAACTTAATTAAATTAATTAATTAAATGAATTGAAGTCCTGCCACATAGCATGACCCAAAAGTAGAAAATCAAGAAAAATGCAAAATCTCATACTACAAATAAGAAATGAACAATGATAATAAAAACAAAGCAAAATATTGGATACTTCTGGATCACACATACTCTGTACAGTATATTTTATGAATATAGGAGAATAAAGAGGAATGAATGTATGGGGTACACAAGTATCCAATATTTTGCTTTATTTCCCACTGAGATGATTGCTCATCCTTACCCATAGCATCATGCTTTGCATTTTTTCTTCATTTTCTAATTTTGGATCATGCTACGTGGCAGGACTTAATTGTTTCAACATGTTGATTGTCCAAGTGCTATTGATTGGCACCCTGGGTTTTATAGCTGAGTGAGCAGAGAGTCAGAGAAATGTTTCCTAATTTACTGCTATGGAATCGAAGCTTTCTGCAAAAGAAAAGCATTTTCTTCGCCCCTCCTTCACTCTGTCTTCTTACTGCCATAAGATGCATTTCAACTTAATGTTAGAGTCAGCTGAATGTTAAAACTCTAAGCACAGGTTGAATTCTGCAGGCTTGTGCTGAGGGTGAAGTTCAAATACCTTCAACTGAAATGAACAACCATCAACCTCATAATCAGAAATAATAGAAATTTGGGCTAAATTCTGCTTTTGGTAGGCTCATAGCACTCACACTGAAGCAGCATTTACTCCTTAGGTTTATATTCATACACATTTGGACATGAGATAATGTAGAACAGTTTAATTGCATGTATTTACTTTTGCAGGAAGAACCACAAGGGCTGCAGGCCTGCAGACCTACAACACTCCTTTGGCATATTTGTGGAGCTTATAAACTCCACCACAGATCCACTGAGTCCAGATGTTGTAAGCACTGTAAATGTAGAACTTACATTATCCTTGGGCTTTTGGCTCCAGCTGTTGTTTGTTTGTTAGTTGAGAATTTTAAGAGATTACTGAAAAATTATATTTGCTGTGAAAATGTACAGTTCTACACAATTTACTTTTTGTTTTACTATTTCACTAGTTCTGTTTTTGTGTTTCTTTGATTTCCTTTCTTCCTCCTTCCCCCATTGTTGCCTGGATGTTTTTATAGAGTCATACAAAGCATTTTTATATTCAGATAAGGTTTTTATAGTCAGATTGGAAAAGATAGATGGAAAAATTATTAGATAATCCCCAGTTACTGACAGGGCAGCATACATTCCACAGATGAGGATATGTGAAATACTGGATTTATATACTTATTGCATTTTGAAAGCAAATATTCATTGTTTTTTCTTATTATAATTACATGCTGTTATAAGGTAACAGAGCTACTGTCAAACTTTGGAAGCTTGTGTATCTCTGCATAATAGGAGGTGACACTAAGATATTTTTGTTTTAATTTAATGAAAATATAACCTTTGAAAACAGATTAAAAATATTTTTGTGACATAACAGCATAAACAAGTTACCGAGCATTTTCAGTGTAATTTGATGGCTTAGCAAGCATAGTGGAAACAGCATTATTACTAGAAAGAGAACTTGAGGAAGTGCTTAACAACTAATCAGAATTACCCACAGAAAATCATTTGCATACAGAGATTATAAAGTATTCAGACTTTAGAGTTTAAGGAACCATCTAGATTTGGAGGGCTGACTACTCAGATGGTATGTCTCCACTGCAGCTGGGAGTGAGCCATCCCAAAATGGGCAGATTTGCATTAGCAAGGCTCCAGCTAGCATACTAAAAATAGCTATGTGGATCCTTGTGCTGCAGTTTGGGCTCCGAAGCCTAAGGTGTTGAGTAGGCTTGAGAGCCAGAGCTGAAACTTGGGCCTCAAGGTCCACACTTCTATTTTCTGTGTGCTTGCTCTAAAGAAAAGAGCACAGAAGGCTAGGGAACTCAGACTTCTCTGTAACCTCCTCAACAGAACACCATATTTCAGTATCAGTTCCTTTTGATACTGCACATTCTGTCTGCCTCACTCCTTCTTCCCAAATTACCTGCTACACTCCCAGCAGCAGTAGCACATTTATCTAGAAGAAACCCAACTAGTTAATGAAAAGATGCAGGGCTAGATTCACAGAGCAACTTGGGCATGGTAACATTGAGCATCACCATGCCTAACTCACAGGTTATCCCCAACTTCACAGGGAATCACAAAGCCTGAGTTAGGTCCCTAGGCTCCCTATGTAATGAGTGTGGAGAACGCTAAGAATGAGATTCACAAACCCAGCATGCTAGGCAGCTCCCAGACTAAGGTAGCCAATAGGAGATGCTGAAGAGAGGGGTGTGTTCTAAGTCTCACCCCCCTCACCTACAACTGGGCTGCAAGGAGGCACCTTCCTCTGCACCTACATACCAGATCAGGACCCACAGGCAAGCTACAAGGAAGAACACTATCTTCCTGCAGTTCGCATATTGCACTGGGGGTTAGGTGTCCAGGCACAGAGAGTGAGGCAGAGTGTACATGGATGGAAACAGAAACACAGGTTCTGAGGGAACTTTTACTGCGAAAACTCAGATGTGAGTGTAGGCACTTGTAGGGTTCAACAGCAGCTGAGTGTGGGGGGTGGGGAGGAGGAGGGCAGTGGTTGAATCCCAGTGTGGTCTGCTTCTGGTTTTTAGATGCCTAAAGTCCTGTTGTGAAACTAGCCCATAGTTACCCATGTTAATTATGCCTTGGAAGACTTCTTCCTGAGGTCCTGATCCCAAAGGCCTTATTTCTAAATACTTGTCCAAAGTGATGTAATTCAGTAATCCAAGGAATGTACTTTTTTTGATCTCCCATTGACTTCACTAGACATTAGGATCTTTAAGAAATAAAATACCCAGGATTTTTGTGTTGTTGTACACAAAAAAAGAAAAACAGAGCGGGAGATGGAGAAGAAAAAGAAAAGACGAGGGAACAAGGGAGCAGCAACAGAGGTTTAGAATGTCAGTTTATATTTGCCGGAGCAATAGTATTGGCAACTCTGAGCTCTCAAAACTCATAAATTGATCCCCCAACAAAAATAATGAGATCAACTTGAGTCATGAGACTTTTGAAAATATTAAAATTGTAGGTCTTCTGATTTGCTTTCTGGGTTTAGCCTTTAGGGGGCCAAGTTTTCAAGCTTTTCTCCACAACCAAAAGCATTAGAAATGTACCTGTTTTTAAACTGAAATCTGAGAGTCTCACATAATAACATGATTCCATGAGATGGAAGTTTAAGACAAACAAACACATATTGTGAGAACAGGTAACACTGGATAAGGGGCAGCACATAGCTGTGTTACTTTAGGAGCAGCCCACAAAAGGAATTGTGACTCAGTCACTTCCCTCCTTGACTTCTCCCTCCTGAAGGGGAAAGTTTATATCAGAAGTGAATTGCAACCCTCTTCACACTAATTCAACTATGCCAGTTAGCCACTGGGATGGAATCAAGATTCAGCTTCCCAGCTCCTACCCACATGTGTGGAAGGTGGTGTAGCAGTCCCATGGAGGCTATTCTCCTTTCTTCAGACTTTTACTATGAGGTGGGTAGCTCACATAGAGGAATAAGAGGAACCCTTAATCCACTCCCTTTGTGGAGGACTGTTATACCAACTCTACATATACATATAGAATCATAGAACTGGAAGGGACCTCAAGAGGTCATCTAGTCCAGTCCCCTGCACTCAAGGCAGGATTAAGTATTATCTAGACCAGGGGTCGGCAACCTCTGGCACGCGGCTCGTCACAGGGTAAGCACCCTGGCAGGCCGGGCCAGTTTGTTTACCTGCCACGTTGGCAGGTTTGGCCGATCGCGGCTCCCACTGGCCGCGGTTCGCCGTCCCAGGCCAATGGGGGCTGCGGGAAGTGGCGCGGGCCGAGGGATGTGCTGGCCATGGCTTCCTGTAGCCCTCATCGGCCTGGAACAGTGAACCGCAACCAATGGGAGGTAAACAAACTGGCCCGGCCCACCAGGGTGCTTACCCTGGCAAGCCGTGTGCCAGAGGTTGAAGACCCCTGATCTAGACCATCCTTGACAGGTGTTTGTCCAACCTGCTCTTAAGAATCCCCAATGATGGAGATTTGACAACCTCCCTAAGCAATTTATTCCACTGCTTAACCACTCTGACAGTTAGGAAGTTTTTAATAATGTCCAACCTAAACCGCCCTTGCTGCAATTTAAGCCCATTGCTTTTTGTGCTATCCTCAGAAGTTAAGAAGAACATTTTTCTCCCTCCTCTTTGTAACAAACTTTTATGTACTTGAAAACTGTTATCATGTCCCCTCTCTGTCTTCTCTTCTCCAGACTAAACAAACCCCTTTTTTTCAATCGTCCCTTAAAGGTCATGTTTTCTAGACCTTTAATCATTTTTGTTGCTCTTCTCTGGACCTTTTCGAATTTGTCCACATCTTTCCTGAAATGTGGTGCCCAGAATTGGATACAATACTCCAGTTGAGGCCTAATCAGTGCGGAGTAGAGTGGAAGAATTACTTCTCGCGTCTTGCTTACAATACTCCTGCTAATACATCCCAGAATTATGTTTGCTTTTTTTGCAACGGGATTACACTATTGACTCATATTTAGCTTGTGATCCACTATAACCCCCAGATCTCTTTCTGCAGTACTTTTCACACTTCCTAGGCAGTCATTTCACATTTTGTATTTCTGCAACTGATTGTTCCTTCTTAAGTGGAATACTTTCCACTTGTCCTTATTGAATCCTATTTACTTCAGACCATTTCTCCAGTTTGTCTAGACCATTTTGAATTTTAATCCTATCCTCCAAAGAACTTGCAACCCCTCCCAGCTTGGTATCGTCCACAAACTTTATAAGTGTACTCTCTATGCCATTATCTAAATAATTGATGAAGATATTGAACAGAACCGGACCCCGAACTGATCCCTATGGGACCCCACTCATAATGCCCTTCCAGCATGACTGTGTACCACTGATAACTCTCTGGGAATGATTTTCCAACCAGTTATTCACCCACATTATAGTAGCTCCATCTAGGTTGTATTTCCCCAGTTTGTTTATGAGATGGTCATGTGAGACAGCATCAGAAGCCTTACTACATTCAAGATATACCACATCTACCACTTCCCCCCATCCACAAGACTTGTTACCCTGTCAAAGAAATCGATCAGGTTGGTTTGACATGAGTTGTTCTCGACAAATCCATGCTGACTGTTATTTATCACCTTATTATTTTCTAGCTGTTTGCAAATTGATTGTTTAATTATTTGCTCCATTATCTTTCCGTGTACAGAAATTAAGATGACTGGTCTGTAATTCCCCGGGTTATCCTTATTTCTCTGTTTATAAATGGGCACTATATTTGCCGTTTTCCAGTCTTCTGAATGTCTCCCGTCTTCCAAGACTTTTCAAAGATAATCGCTAATGGCTCAGATATCTCCTCCATCAGCTCCTTGAATATTCTAGGATGCATTTAATCAGGCCCTGGTGATTTGAAGATATCTAACTTGTCTAAGTAATTTTTGACTTGTTCTTTCCCTTTTTTAGACTCTGATCCTACCTCGTTTTCACTGGCATTCACTATGTTAGACATCCAATCACCACCAACCTTCTTGGTAAAAACCAAAACAAAGAAGTCATTAAGCACCTCTGCCATTTCCACATTTTCTGTTATTGTCCTGTCCCCCCCCCCTCATTGAGTAATGGGCCTACTCTGTCCTTGGTCTTCCTCTTGCTTCTAATGTATTTGTAGACTGTTTTCTTGTTACCCTTTATGTCCCTT